TATATATATATTATTGTTTTAATTGCATTTAATAATTATTAGTGATGTGAATGTTTTCCTTTGTATTTCCTTTTTTATTAAATTTTGGTGTTCCTCTCTTGTTCAGGTTCTTACTGGAATCATCTTGATTTCTGAGAAATGCTTACATATTAATTTGGTTGATTCATTACCCTCACATACAATTATGATGGGGCTTTTCACTTTGCATTTTTGTATAGTGAAATCCAACACTCTTTTCCTTAATAATTTTTGTTTACATGGTGTCATATATAAAATTTTTCCATTCCAAATTACATAGTTAACATCTGTATTTATTCTAGTATTTTATTTAGAGTTTTTATTTGTCTAGAATTTTGCTATATAGTGTGACATAAGAATCCAATTTTATTTTTCCCAATGGTTAATAATTTCCCCAATACTATTCAATTCTTTCTTCACTGATTTGGCATACAATATTTATTATATCCCCAATTATTAAATATATTTTTATCTGTTTCTGATTTTTCTCATCTTTACCATTGATCTATTTCTGCTTTATTCTTTTATTTATGAAGTAGTTAAAGTAATTTTTATATGACATAATGTTGCTTCTCAAATATTTTATAGCTAGTATCATACATAAATCCTTAAAAAAAAACCCATTGAACAATTTTGTCAGATATGAAAAAACAAACTGTCATATTTTCTTTATAATTGTACTAGAGGCCCAGTGCATGAATTCGTGCATGGATGGGGACCCTCACCATGGCCAGTGATCAAAGCTGATTGGGGCCTGTCTGACCCAGTCCTGATTGGGTTGATCTGAGCCAGCCGGGGCAGGGGTGGGGGGAAGAGCTGGGGCGGGGGTGGAGGGAAGGACCACAGGAGGTTGGCTGTGGGAGTGCACTGACCACCAGGGGGCAGCTCCTGCATGAGCGTCTGCCACGGGTGGTCAGTGGGCATCATAGCAACTGGTTGTAATGGTCACTTAGGCTTTTATATATATATAGATTAAACTGATATTTTAATCTGGGGAGAACTGGTATCTTCACTGTATTCAGCCTTTTTTAAAAAAAATATATTTTATTGATTTTTTACAGAGAGGAAGGGAGAGGGATAGAGAATTAGAAACATTGATGAGAGAAAAACATTGATCAGCTACCTCCTGCACACTCCCCACTGGGGATGTGCCCGCAACCAAGATACATGCCCTTGACCGGAATCAAACCTGGGGCCCTTGAGTCCCCAGGCCGATGCTCTATCCACTGAGCCAAACCGGTTAGGGCTGTATTCAGCCTTTTTATCTAGATACATAGTTTCTCTTGTAATTCATTTAGTTTTTCTTTGTGTTTCTTTGGAAATTAGTAATGATTGGCCCCAGAAGAACTTGTATTAAAGAAAAATCCTAGAATGTATTATGCAGGACTGCAAAAATTACTATAATATCCCTGAATGAAATACATAAAGGCTAATTCAATCTTGAAAATGTTTACATATTTTTACAGAAGAGAAAAAATTGTTCATTAGAATATTGCTAATTTAAACGATATCTAGAGACATCGCATATATGGTAACCAAATGATTTTTACCACTTGTAGTTTTTATTAGTCTTCTTTTAAAAAATAAATACAATTTGATAAAATTTATGCTGTGAAATTTTTCTGTTAAACCATAAAACCATTAGGGAAAAAGTGCTAAAAATGAAAGCAACATTTGAACACAGAAAAACAAAATATCTCAAAATGTAAAATTGGTGAAGTTATACGTCTGAATTAGATATGTGCATGGGTGAACCCTGACCCTGTGGCCACCATCACAGGCCAGCACTAGTGTGAAGGCAATAAATAGTCAATTCTTACCATAAGTAAATTAACAAAAATAGGTGTTTATCATGGGGTTTTAAAATATCAGGTCAAAAATGAATATTTATAATAGTATACAGATGTAAAGAAAGGTTCCAGGGGCTCCGAAATGAAGAACAGTCTAGGAATGTGATTGCATGAGAAATGTTTCTAGTTATATCCCAAGGAACCATATAAGGACTCACTCCAAGTGCTGGTATTGGAAAACTTTTCTCATTGAGCCATGCTATGTAGAGACAACACATAAAGGTTAAAATAATAAAATTTTACTTTTTTCTGTATAAATTTCTAGTGGTAATAATTATTTTATGGTTTTTTTAAGTAACATATGAATACATGACTAAAGAATTTTGAGTTTTTTCTCTTTCATAGAGATGGATTTTTCTGAACCATATCAAGCTCACACTGTATAGTAGTATATGGCCAAAGACAATCATTAGTAATGTGAAAGAAAAAATTAAAAGGATATATCCAAGACATGTAAAAATCAGGGAAGTGTGACCCATACAAAGATAAAGAAAAGCAGGGAATAGGAACTGCCTTTGAGAGGCATGTTGGACTTAACAGACTTCAAAGCAAATATAATTAGGTTCAAAACTAAGGAAACTTATGTTTAAAGAATTTAAGAAGATAAGATACATGCTTTATGCAATAGAGAATATCCATAAAAAGGTAGAAATTATTCCTTTTGGGACTCTATATTGTTCTACATGTATTTTACAAGCTGTTCTTACATCTTTAAAGTAATTTTCTAATTGGGTTTCAATTTAGATAATTTCTATTGACCTATTTTTATGTTTACTGACATTCCTTCGACTGTATTCAATTTGCTATTAAGCCCCAGATCCAACAAATTTTTAATTTCAGATTTAAGAAAAACTTATTCTAGAAAGTTAGTTTGATCTTTAGAAATTTTATTTCTATATTAAGAAGTAGATTTTCCCTATTTTGTTTATCTTCAAATTTCTTTAACATTTACTAGTATAATGTAATTTCAGTCAATAATCTGCTAACTCCTATGTGTGATTCATTTGTGGATCTGCTTCTATATTTTGATTTTTCTCTTCCTTTCATGTCTTATCATTTTTGATAATGTGCAGATTACATATTTAAATAGCCAAGGAATTGGGAGCAAAAATTATTTTCCTCAGAGAGGACACATCGCTTTCTCTGTTAGGCACCTAAAATGAAGAGTTGGTTATTTCTATCTCAATAGGAATTCAGGTAGGTTGCACCTGGGTTACAGCCTGAGGTTCAGTTTACAAATGTCTTTAGAGGGAAATCTATCCTGAGTGGTTACAGGGACCTCCCTGGGGGGAAATTTGGGATTGAAGCTCAGCATCTGGAGATTTCCCTCTGGTCTCCAGCCCAGCCAATAGCATCCTATATTGCCATACTCTCAGCAAAATTCTCATGAGAACGCACTACCTGGCCAGAAGAATCAGCTCTAAGTTTGGAAAACTATAGATTCCAATTTGTCTTGCCAGCCCATGCAACTATTAACAACTCTTCTGAATTTCTTGCTACCCCAGCAGAGCTCTTCTGCCCACGGCTGGCCCATTTATTCCCAGACATGGCTAATGCTAACAGAGAGGGAAGTGACACCGATTTTTGCTCAAAAAAAGCCTCTTTTCTCTCTGGTAAAGAAAGTAGATATTTTAGACTTCTTTTTCTATACTACTTTCTGAAATCATATATGTCATATACATACATCTATGTGTATATATATTTATGGTTACAAAAATGTATTCCATTTGTTACAGTGGTAATCATATTCACTTGTACTTTCTAATTGGATGTAGAATACTCCAGTGCATTATTCATGTTCAGGTAATGTCTTAACAAGTAATTGATATATTGTACTTGTTTTTATTTCATATTAAACTAGTGTGTTTTATAGGTTACAGTAGCCTCCACAATAGTCAATAGAGTGTCTGTATCATAACAACAGCTATTGTGAAATTCTTACCCTAAGTAAATTAGAACATTATGTTCTAAGCGTTTTACATATATTACCTAATTTAATCCTCAGAGCAATTCCTTGAGTGAGGTACTATTATTAACACTATTATACA